CTGCTCCTTTTTTGAAAAATATTTTTATTGATTTTAGAGAGAGAGAGCGGAAAGCAGGATAAAGAGATAGAAATATCGATGGGCTACCTTCTCTATGCCCCCCCCCCCCACAACTGGGGATTGAGCCCACAAACCCAGGCATGTGCCCCAACCAGTTACCTCTTGGTTCATGGGTTGGTGCTTAACCATTGAGCAACACCAGCTGGGCACTTTCTTGTACGTGAACTCTTGGTGAGACCCAGCCCACTGTGCTGTATGTAGCAGGCTGTGCACTCTGTTTCATGGTGCTAACGCTGTCCTATGTGGGCTCATATTTCCTGTGCAGCGTGGGTAGCTCTGGGGAGCTCTGCAGGAGGGGGCGGCTTTGCATGTGTGTGTGCACCTACCGTATGCGGTTTGGAGTGTGTGCCCCCTGGAGGGTGTGCCTGCAGGGAGACAGAGAATGGGGGCTTCTCCTGTCTGTGTCTGAGGGCCAGGGAGGAATCTGGAAAGAGGAGGTCGGAAAGGCAGGCCCTTGCTGTGCAGGGAAGGAAGTCCCTGCATGTAAGGAAGCTGCTCTGGGGACAGGTGGTCAGCAGGGGAAAGGGCTACTCCAGGTTTATGACGGGGCGAGGTGTGTGTGTCACCTGGGAGCTGGGGGTGTGTTTGTATAGATAAGTGAGTGTGTGCGCGCTGCAGCCTCTGTCAGCCCGGCTGGCTGAGCCTGCCTCTCTGTGGAGCCCCGCCCGCCCGCCGCCGTGGAGCTCAATCAGCCGCTGCATGAATACACTCGAATGGAAAGTTGTGCTCAGCTGACCGGAGAAATCAGAGCCGGCCAGCACCGCTCCCCGCCTCCCTGGCTCCCTTCTGCCCTCCCTCGGACTGGAGGGCCCTGGGGCCCTGGTACAGGGCAGAGGAGGTTCAACTCAGCCGGGGCCCCAGGGGTGTGGGGATGAGCGGCCTGAGCACGAGCATTCAGGGACTTCCATTAGGTGGGCTGGACAGAGCCCAGCGCTTGGGGAAGGGGGTGAGGGTTAGGGGAGGGTCCAGAAAAGTCCCTGAGGCAGCAGCCAGAGCTCCAGGTGACAGCCACGCAAAGACCAAGACTTAGGCAGGGGACTGAGAAAGCCGCAGAGGCAGAGAAAGACAGAGAGAGCAAGCAGAGGCAGCCCTCCAGGGCTCAGGGAGGCCCAGTACACCACGGGCAGCGGCCTGAGCAATGGGCTGGGTGCAGGATGCGCTGGGCTGGCCCGGTCTCCTTGCCTCAGAAGCTACAGGCGCACTCCTCCCACACAGCCCACACTAGGGTTCTGGTCCTCTCCCTGGAGACCTGGGCTTGGCCCTCCCAGCGCCTCTCTGGAGCCCTCTCCACGCCCAAAGGCCGGCCACCCCAACCCCAACCCCAGCCAATGGCCAGGCTCCTGTGCCTCCACTCTCACTAGGATCTGCATCCCCACGCCGCGCTGTGGCAGCTTCCAGGTCATTTCATTTTAATCAGCTCTGCCTCTCGATGGGGATAATCAGCTGCGCTGGCCCAGGCAGTCGATTCCACAGGATTCAAGGAGAGCAAGAGAAGGGGCCGTGTTGGGGCTCAGGACCACCGCTGGGGCAGGGGGAGTAAGAGGGGGACAGGCCGGAAGGGATAGATTGGGCTAGCTTCCCTCAGGCAGGCGGCTTCGAGGAGTCCATCACTTTGAGACAGATTTTCCCAGTTTCAAATCCCTTTCTGCCAGTTCAGGGTTCCGGGGCAACCCCAGATGGATATTGTTTTTATTTGAGAGAGGTCGGAACGAAGGGAATACCCCCACACTGGCTGCTATTCTGCAGGCCCCTCACACACTAGAGGAGGCTGCCGCCGTAGGAAGAGGCCTGTGTGCACAGGCTGAGGCGCCGGATGCGGCCCCAGGCGGAAGCACGGGCACCGGGGCAGTGTGTGCTAATGCTCTGGCACAGCAGCGGGCGAGGAGCTGGCCCACGGACTGCCGGAGGCCAGACAGAGGGGATGGAAGGTGAAAGCTGAGGCCTGCTTGCTCAGCCTGAGGAGGTGAGGAGGCCCCCTTGAGACTCCACCACATGGCACTGCCACACCCACCACAGAAGGCACGATCTACAACACTCCCAGGCTGCGGGAGCTCCGCACAGGGCACGGGGTGGCTTTTCAGTCCCCAGAGCTCCAGCCAAGCCTTGCCCTGGAGCTCTGCCCCACGGCCCCTAGGATGCTGAGGGACCCCCGAAAGGAGAATGGACATGCAGCTGATAAAGGAGTTCTGGAGCCGAAACCGGTTTGGCTCAGAGGATAGAGCGTCGGCCTGCGGACTGACGGGTCCCGGGTTCGATTCCGGTCAAGGGCATGTACCTTGGCTGCGGGCACATCCCCAGTAGGGGGTGTGCAAGAGGCAGCTGGTCGATGTTTCTTTCTCATCGACGTTTCTAGCTCTCTATCCCTCTTCCTTCCTCTCTGTAAAAATCAATAAAATATATTTTTTTTAAAAAAAGGGAAATCTGGAGAGAAAGGGGCCTCTTTTCCTTCATGCCGATGTTTAAAGTGGCAGGGGCAGATCCAATGTCACAGTCTCAGCCGCAGCATATCAGGGCAAAGCGTGGACTGGGAGGCCAGAGAGCCCAACTCCCTTCCGCCCTCCAGTCAAAGCATACCCATTCCTGGGAGGGACAAGAAGGTCCGTTAGGGTGATGGGCCTGGTGGTCATATCTGAGGGAACTTACAAGGTCCCACACAGGTCCACACCAGAATCCCACAAGATACATGTCCGGTGCACAGAAAGACCCTGCATGCACAGCGTCCCTGAGGTGTACGAAAGCCACTGCCTGCAGAATTAGGTACATTTAAACTGCCCAACCCACACACAAGCACTTACACTACAGGCTATATACATGAAAACACAGAGTGAACACACACGGATGCATTGTACACACATGTATGTATATCAATCTCTCTCTCTCTCTCTCTCTCTCTCTCTCTCTCTCTCTCTCTCTCACACACACACTTCATATGCAGACCTGGCTTGCGTGGTGGAAGCCCAGCATTCAGAATGGCACACAGCGACACCTCTCACAATGAGTACTCGTGCCTCTTCTGTGGGAATCTGTAGGCAAGGTCAGAAGAGTAGAGTGTTTGTATGTGCACAGACCTGGGTAGAAACATAGGCAACGAGAGAGAGAGAGAGAGAGAGAGAGAGAGAGAGAGAGAGAGAGAGAGAGAGAGAGGGAGAGAGAGAGGGAGATGACAGATAGTGAGGCAGACCAATAGCTGGTGGGTGACACCCAGCAGGGCCTAGGCCTCCAGAACGAAGGCTGCTGGGGGTCTGACAGCCTCCTGTCTGCAGTGGAGGAGGCATGGGCACTGGGTGCCCCAAACTTGCTTTCCCCGTAGGATATGCTGAGGGAGGGATTTTAATCCCATGAGTTTGACCCCTGTCCCCAGCCAAAAAGGCATCTGCTCTCTAGTGTCAGTAGTCAAGGCCCCTCCAGGAGTCACTCCTCAGCCTGACACGCCTTTCCTTCCACCCCACCAATGCCGGGTAGGCAGTTGGGTGGGATGGGGTCCATCCAGATGCTCCCGCTGTCTGAGGCAGCCACTTCTCTGGGTTGACATATCCAAAATATGGGTAAGTGACACGCCATTTAAAAAAACAAGGGTGGGGGGGACACGTCCCCTCATCCAGGACATCACTCTGTGCACCAGAACAGAGGCTCAAGTTGGGTAGAACGCAGGAAGCCCCTTCTCCAAATGCCTTCCACCCAGGTCAACATCGCCTGGACCCTGGCATCGTGAGGACCGTTTTCCGGGGCAGGGAACATGCGCAGAGGTTCTGACAGAAATTGGAGGACCTGGAGGTCGTCTGGATGCCCTGGCTTTGAATGAGAGGCTGGCAGAAACCTCCTGCTACACGGAAACAAGGGCCTTTGGGCACACAAGGCCCTCCTGGCACGCCGGAGGCACCTGTGGGTCTGGCCCCGCTCTGTCCAGCACGGTCTGCATAAACCCCACGGTGCAGCCAGTGATGGAGACAAAAGGAAACCGGAAGTCAAAGTTTAGACACAGGCGCAAAATTCCAGGCGCGGTATGGTTCTCCCTAATCCTCTTTGCTTTGGAAATTGGACTTTCAAGTGAAGGCAGGTTTTCTAAAATTGCCTCTTTGGCCCCTCCCCGGGCCCTGGCCGGCCTGGCACAGCCCAGAGTGGAGGCGCCACCAGTCACACCATCGCTGGGAACCTTGGGCAGAGAGGCCTGGGCCAGGGGACCAGGTTAGCAGAACGAGGTGACTTTTTGGTTTTCATTTTAAAGTGTAAATCGACTCTGAAATGTCTGGGGCCTTTAGGGACTCCAGAAAAATCCCAAAAGACGGAAAGAAGTTACAAGGGAGACGGACTGAGTCCCATAAGGCAAGTTGTCCAGTCACACAGATGCACACACTGGCGGTGAGACGGGAATCCATCCAGATTCTCTAGACCCTAAACCCCTCAGACTCCTTTTGCCTTGCTCTCCATCCCCTCCTCATGTTGCACGCACCCCAAAAGAAGACAAAAACCCGGTCATCTACGCTCTGGGTGTGTGCTTAGATTTGGTGACCTTGTGTGTTTCTCCTTAAAAAAAAAAAAAAAAAAAAAAAAAAAAAAAAAAAGGCAACAACAACCAAAAGCTGCCAAACACTCCCCCAAGGACCCAGAAGGGCCCGGGAGGCAGGCTACAGTTCCTGGGGAACAATTCCTGGGAACCGGGGCCTGGCAGCTCGCACTGAAGAAACTGGCCACAGCCTCCTCTCCAATGCCCTCTCTGCCTTTCCCGCTCAGGGTTTGGCTCTGGTTCTTTTCCGAAGGGCCCATGTTCTGCCCTCCCTTCTCCCGGAGAAATGCTCAGACCCAGCTTTAAAATTCTGCCCCAGCTCCGGCTGCGGCGTCGTCGTATCTGGAGTGGAAGGAAGGCCTGGCTCCAGCACCCCGGGGGTGCAGCGCCCCAGGGATTGGGCCCAGGGGCGGACAAAAACACCAGTCTCCGGGGGTAATAAGAAAATGGAGAATACTGTATTTGCTTTAGAAAGTTTTTACATATAGATAAACACGCAGTTAAGATAACAGTAAAAGCGCTCTACAGGGAGTGAGAGATATCGCCAAAGCAGCTAGGAGATACTTGAAATAGCTTTTGCTTAAGAATACTACGGTCTCACTCGCCGCTTTTGCTGTTGACGGGGTCCCTCTTCCTACCCCAGCCCGGAAGAGCACGCCTGAAACACCCAACGGGAGAGGAACCCCCAAAAGCAAAGAGGTGAGCGGGGGAGGAGGGAGAAGGAGGGAGAAGAAGAGAGAAAGAAAGAGGAAGGGAGAGGAGAAAAAGCAATTATCATATACAGGCAATTTCTACACATATATTACAAACTGGGAAAATGACCAATCATTAAGATATACATAATTCATATAAAATTTTGAAATAAAAATAAAAATCTGTTACAGTCATAACTATTCTTTTTCCACATTTATAACCAGTACCCACACAGGCAGTGACAGAGTGGAGAGAAAAAGGTGCTTACGAAGAAAATGATTGTCTGCTGAACAAAAAAACAGAAAATTGCATCTTGTTTGACCAATACTTGGACTTAAAAACAGGAGAGAGGGAGAGAAAGAGAGAGAGGAGAAAAGAGAGAGAGAGAGCAACAAAAGGCAAGAAACATTTCCCTCTCCAGGAGTTCTTTCTTTTTAAACAAATTCCAAAAGGAGATGGCGGTTTTATTTTTTTTCCTCTTTTTTTTTGTCTCTTTTGCTTTTGTTGTCTTGTCATCATGGTGGTGGCTTTTGTACAGTCGACTCTTTTTTTAAAACCGTTTTAAACTAGAGAGAATATTTTCCCAGATACAAATAAATCGTCATGCAGGTGGGGTGCCGGGTCCGTGGGAACCGAAAGGAGAAGCCGTGCGTGTCCTAGAAAGTATACAATGGTCACGTCTTTTATGTTGTCTGCCCACAACACCAGCGCTTGTGGCTGTCTGTTGACCGTAGCAGTCCTCTGGGGTGGCCGAGATGGTGAAAGGTGGTTGGGGGTTGCTGATGGTTTGCGTTCAAACTTATTTTTCTTGTTTTTTTTTTAAATATATATTTTTGGCTGGGGTGGGTCGAGTGTGCTTGTGTGTGTGTGTGTGTGTGTGTGTGTGTGTATGATGGTGCGTCCTGATACCGGTTTGTTCTGGGGCAGGAGGAGGAGGACGAGGAGGAGGTCAAGGAGGAGAAGGGGGACACGGAGCGGAGATGGGGTGGGGGGCTGGAGGGCGGCCTTGGGCATCATACATCGCATTCCGAGTCGCTGGAGGTTACCGAGAGGATGGAGGTGCCGGTGTCCACGCGCTCCGCCAGGCTGGACACGCTGGTGGTGGGGCTGGCCGCCGTGGACGGCGACTCTGCCGAGCTGTGCGTGGGGCAGCCCGGCTCGGCCAGCGAGCGCATGCCGCTCGGTCCGATGGCCTGGTGCTGGAGCCTGCGGGAGACAGAGAGCGGCGCCCGCCCTGACACAGCGGCCGCCGCCGGCTCCTCCAAGCCGCCTCCCTCCCGGAGCCCGAGCCGCCCGGAGCCGCTGGGAGCAGGCCTACCCCCGCCTGTGCTCCCGGCCTCCCCGTCTCCTCGCCCTGCGCTACCACCGCCCCTGACTCCTCTCTCCCAGGCGCGCAGCACCTGCTCCTGCACCAGGCTGTGCCGTGGGCGCCGCAGAGCCTCCCTTGTACAGATCCTGACTCTCGGCTGCCCTCCCCGGGGCTCCCTGGAGCTCCCTAAGGCTCGCCAGCCCTGGCCGGCCTGGGAGGAGAGGTAGAACTGGAGACCTGCCGCCTGGGGAGGCCTGGGGCACACACAGCTCAGGACACCGAGCCCCAGTGAGCACAAGTCCGAAAGGGACAGGCAGGTGCTCCTTCCTCCCCAGCCCCTGCTATTCTGAACACTAAGACATCTGCCGCAGAGCAGCCTGATCGCCCTGTGCCTCCTGCCCTGGTCCCCACACTCCCCGGGTGGCACTGGCTGGCTTTGCTCTGGCTTTGCTCTCTAGAAAGAGCGCAGGAGCGGGGAAGAGCAAACACGGACGCTGGGAGCAGAAAACTGAGGAAAGAGGAGGGACAGAAAGATCAGGAGGGAAGTCTAGCCATCCTGGGTGCCCCATCCCAGGGTAAACAGCAGCTGCCTGCACGTAGTGTCTCTGAATTTCCCTACAAAGAGGCCTTCCCAATGAACCTGGCCACTGCCCCCGTTGGGCGAAAACTTGGTTCCAAAAGCGGATGAGAGGACTGAAGGCTCAGGTCTGGGCCACCTAAACCAGAAAACACTCCTTCCCTCCATGAGCTCACCCCCAGCTCCTGGCCCCCTCGCCTGCCTGTCAGCACCAAGGGCCTCCTGCTTCACAGCAGGCCCGGCACCAACCCAGGCTGGCGAGGAGCACAGGCTTCTCTCCCAACTCTTCCCTTCCCTCTTTCCTCTCTACTTCCTTCTCCTTCCTCCGTTTTCTTTTTTTTTTTTTTTTTTTTCCTCTTGGAGTTATTTTTCTTCCCACTTCCCCCAGGCCCATCTCTGCTGACGGGTCCAGCCAGGGACAACTTTGTGACTCTGTGGCCAACTTGCCAACAACAAAACTGCTCCTGCCCGCTTTGCAGTCCAGTGACCCCAGGGGCTGCACCTCAGCCCGGGAGGCGGCAGAGCTAACACACACCCCTCTCCACTTCCAGCCAGCTCTCCTGCTCCCGATCAGATCAGACATGATCAGATCAGACAACTGGCAACGCCTTGGGAAGGAGGGCCGCTGCATGGTGGCCGCCAGCCTCTTTCCTGTGGGGCAGGGACCCAGGTCAGTTCCCTCTCCCTGACTTTTGTGGATCTCTCCCCGTGTGTGCAAAGCATGGAAATAAGAACCACGCGGCAGGCAAGGAGTGCTTTCTTCCCTCTCTTCCCTGTCTGCAGGCCACCACCCGAGGAGCCCGGCCGGAGCTCGGGACCTCTCAGAGGCCGGGACCAGGGACTGTGGGCACTCACACAGGCTCTCTCCACCCAGAGGAAAGACCCTCTAAGACCGGCAAAGCAATCGGTACACACGCAATGTCTGTCCCTCTTCCCTCCGTGCCTGGGCCAGCGGAAACTTTCTCCAACTGGCCAGGGGGCCGAGGCTTTTGGAGAGCAAGTTCGGCAGCCCCTGGCCCCCTGACCCGCCACCGGCCCCCATTTCAACCCTTCTCCCTCTACGGGGTCCCCTGAGACGGTAGCCAGGCCGTTGGGGGGGAGGGGGAGGAGGAGGAGGGGGGGTGCCACTGACCTGTTCTTGGCCGCCGCGGCGCGGTCGCGCTGCCTCCGGTTCTTGAACCAGTTGCCTACTTGTGTGGGCGTGAGGCCGGTGGCCTGCGCCAGTTCGCGTTTCTTGCTGGGGTTGGGGTAGGGGTCCTGCAGGTACCACTCCCGCAGCAGGCTCCGAGTCCGCTCCTTGAAGCAGTGCGTCTTCTGCTCGCCGTCCCAGATGGTGCGCGGCAGCGGGAACTTCTTGCGCACCCGGTACTTGTCCACGGGGCCGAGCGGGCGGCCGCGCAGCTTCTCGGCCTCCTGGTAGTGCGCCTCGAGCCACATGGCCTGCAGCTTGCCGTGGGACTCCTTGGTGAACTTGTGGTTCTCCAGGATGTGGTAGAGGTCGCGGAAGTTGCCCGTGTGGAAGGCGACCACGGCGCGCGCGCGCAGGATGGACTCGTGCTTGTTGATGGCCTCGCACGCCCCGGGGGCCACGGGCAGCGACCAGAGGAAGCGGCCCAGCCGCTCGATGTCGCCCGTCTCCTCCAGCGTCTCGCAGACGCTGGCCACCTGCTCCGGCGAGAAGTTGAGGGTGGGCAGCTGGAACATGGACAACTCTTCCGGGGGGGGCCTGGAGCCGCCGCCGCCGCCGCCTGCTCCGCCAGCACCGCCGCCGCCCGCACCGGTCCCGCCGCCGCCTGTGCCGCCGCCGCCGCCGCCCGCACCGGTCCCGCCGCCGCCGCCGCAGCCGCCGCTCGCCACAAGTAGGGAGCGGTGGTGAGGATCGGCCAAGTTTGGCAACAAGAAGTGGGAGGAATAGAGGTCTAGGGGGGAGCGGAATACCATGGACTGACCTGGGAGGAGAGGAGAGAATTCAGGGAGAGGAAGAGCGAGGGGAGGAAGAGGAGGAGGAGGAGGAGGAGGAGGAGAGGGGCGCCGGGGACCGGGCGGAGGGAGAGGAGAGGGGGGAGGAGGAGGGAGAGGAGAGGAGGGGGGAGCAGGAGGAGGAGGAGGAGGAGGAGGGGGAAGAGGAAGGGCGTAAGGGACACCCACACCCCACACACATCCACACGCACACACGCCCGCGCAGCCACATAGAGAGGGAGGAGAGGAGAGCGGCCCCGGCGCGCGCGCGCGCAGAGAGCGGACCCCGAGGCGGAGGGAGAGGGAGAGAGAGGGGAGAGCGAGAGGAGGAAGCGCGAGAGCCAACCACCGCCGCCGAGTCAAGATTCAGCGATCCCACAGCAATCGCCCTAATGACAACAGCCTCATAATATCTCCCCTAAATCCACAGTGAGTGCGGCATTGAAACATTTTGTTTCGCTTTTCTATTGGTCTGCGGCGTGTCGTGGTGGGGGTTGCCACGGCAACCGCTGCCAATCACTGTCAGCCCTGCCAATCAATACCCAGAACGTAAGGACGGTTTTACCACTTAGCCAGAGGGGCGGGGGTGGGGGGAGGGTGGAGAAGAGGAAAAGAGGGAGAAGGGGGAGAATTTTTTTTTTTTAAAAATGTTTGCGACTCTTAATCTCGCCAAGTCCCCCCACTTCTCTCTCTCTCTCCCGCTCTCTCTCTCTCACTCTCTCAATCCCTTCTTCCCTCTTCCCCAAAGAAGTTGATCCAGAAATGTAAAAAGCCATGGCCATAGAGTTGTTACATGAAACGAGCAATTTAAAGTGTGGGATTTTGTTGGGGGATGAGCGGCTCCTCATGCTACACGAAGGCCAAGGGCCAGCCCCCAAGGAGAGGCCGGGGAACAGCTGAGCGGACATGGTTTGCACAGGGGCTGCCTCTTTCTGCCCATGTGAGCACTCACAGTGGAGAGGAAGAAAGGAGAGATGAGATCATGGGGCCCACCCTGAGCCTGACCCCGGTCCTTCGAGCTGCTGTGCCCCGGGGTCTCAGATTTCTGGGGACATTTGGTGCCTGGGAGCCTGAGCCCAGAAGCCAGGGTTCTGGAAGCCGCTTTGGCCTCCTCCTTCCTGATTATTGGCCACATTCACCCCAACGTCCTCTGCACTGGAACTGGCTTCTCTTTACTCTGCCCTCCAGCCAGAGAGCCTGATTTCCCATATTGCCCTGAATTTTTAAAATAGCAATAGACATCAACAGGACACTTCTTCCCATCTTAAAAAGCGACCCTCTTTGTTCCACCCAGACTTCAGCTGCTTCCCTTGGGAGCTGTGGAGCAGGTTCACAAGCTGAGAGGCCTGGGAGACTGCAAGACCCCCCATACCTGTTACGCCCCCCCCCAAAAAAAGAAAGTTCTGGGTCTGCCTCTCAGCCCCAGAAAGGCACCCAAATTTTAAAGGCTGCCCCAAAGAAGTGGGTAGGCCTGAACATTGCTTGCTTGCTTGCTCATATTGTAAAGAAAAAAAAAAATAACACACTGTCACATTTCTCTAAGGAAAATATTATCACAAGCCTAACATAGACCCCACAGGGCCCACAGACTGGAGCGGGCCCTCCCTCCCTGTGGTCACTGCAGCCCCCGGACCCAGCAGGAGTATTTATCCTAAGGTATGTCGCTTTTAAGAAGATGTAATCAGCATCTTGAGCCGGGGCCTCCCTTTGTGAAGCTCGTGTAACTATGGAAGTGTGATTTACGCAGATTTGTCCGGGTCAGAGGCGTCCTTCCCTCCGGAGCACTGTGTATATTTAGACAGGGGCTCGGGTTTGGTGTTTAAAAGTGTATATTTTGAATGAGTTCACACACAGTAGCCAACAATGCCCACATTGTCGGCCCGTGTACGACGCGTATTGAAACGCAGCGTCCAGACTTCAACTAATCTGCCCTCAATAAAGCTGACATAATTATCCTAAGCTGCCTTTCCAGAAGAAGAAAATCATTGAGGAATTCAAAACTTTTTTTTTTTTTAAAGACCTTTTCTACATTCCGATGCAGATCTGCGAGCGAGGAGGTGTGGGGGCCGCTGCTGCACTTTGGAGATCTCAATGAGGGAAGGGCGATTGAGAGAGAATGTAAATGGGGAAACTAACGTGACTGGGGCCCTAAACCCCCCAGCTCCAGCCCCCCTAAGGCCCTGACGCCCCAGCGCCAGGCCTCCTGGGCAGAGAAGCACAAGCTGTGCGGGAGCTCCGTGGCAGCGGAAGCGGGGAGACCCTGGACTGTGTTGGGGGGCCGATACCGTCCCACTGTGCCCGAGGCAGCCAGCCGAGGGTCGCTGGTCCTAAATCCAAGGACTGAGGCAGAAAAATATTCGCCCAAAGGGAGGACCGGCCAAGTCCTCCTTGGGGTGATCGCACCCCTCCACAGCTCTTCCTCCCGGCCGCGGGTCCTTGTCCGCTCAGCCTCCAAGCCCCGGGGCAGTAGTCCGCTGCGGGGCCCAGAAAAGAGCCCTAGGGTTGGGACCCCCACACACAAAAAACCAGACACTTCATCTTTTCTGCCTGGTCCCTTTCTCTCCTAGGGAAAGGATTAAAGGCTGAGGGGTGGGAGGAGGAGGAAGGGGCAGGAGGAGGAAGCGGGGGAGGAAGGAATGAAAAAGGGGAGGGGAGTGGGTATTGTGCCGCGTGTGGGGGGAGCATTCCTACGGGTGGGTTTCCGAATATTGTGTTCAACTTTTCTGAAAGCAGCTCGTGACCCCGAAACTGCATCCCCCCCTGGAGCTGAGGACCCCGGCGCCGGGAGGGCGGGCGGGTGAGCCCAGCCAGTCCCCTCCCCATCCCCAAACCCCCGCCTCCGGGTGGGGGCGACGGGGCCTCTCCCGCCGCCGCTGCGCGGACGGCCCGGAGGGAGGCTGGGCAGGTGCCGCGGGCTCCGCCGAAAGCGCTGACATCGAAAACCCGTCGCCACTCGAGGAGGATGGAGGCAAGTGGGGCTGATACTCCGCCGGGCGACACCCTTGTCCCGACCTCGGCCGGGAAGCCCGCCGGCCCGCCGCGCCCCACCGTCCCCGGGAGCGGCCGCGGCGGGCGGGCGCGCACAGCCGGGCGGAGGGCGGCGGCGGGGCGCGCAGCTTTGTGCTCCGGGACGGGGCCGGCGCGGCGGGCGGAATGGGAGCCCGGAGCTGTCAGAGCCGCCCGGCCAAGCCCAGCTCCTCGCCGCCCGCCCGCCGAGCCCACCTTGCGGGCCCGCCGCCGCCAGCGCCTCTCCGCTCCGGCCCCGAGGGCCGCGCCCGCCGCCCGGAGCTCGTAAGTTGGGAGTCCCGGGAGCTGGGAGGCAGGCGGGGCGGGCGGGCCTCGGCGCGGCGGGCTGGGCTGGCTCCCGGCGGGTTTGTGCAGGGTTTCGGTCTAGGAGTGCTGACCGGGGTGCGAGGGAGGCTGTGGAGCGCACCGGAACTTCCCCTCCTAAATCCCCAGGCTCTGAGCGTTGGGGAGGGGTAAAAGCAGAAGGACCAGGGCCCAGGCCGCCTCCCCTCAATGCCCCAGGAGCTGGGCTGTGAGAAGGCCGGGAGATGAACCTAGGGGTGAGGGTGGAGGCCGCGTAGGGGCTCCTGCAACCAGAGGCTCCATCAGAGCGAGGAGACCGGGTGGGTAGGTCTGCCTGCGGGGCCTTCGGGTCTCTCCTGTCGCCTGGCCGCTCAGACTCCTCGGGTCTGGGCGCCCATACAGGCTGAGGTCACAAAATTGCCACCACCATCCCTGTTCAATTCTTGGCCCGGCGACAGGAAGGACAGTGTACGTACAGGTGGTGAGTGCGAGGAGAAAGGCCAGGACCTACGGGGGCATTTGTTTACACACGTCAGCCCGGATCCCAACATTCATCATCCCGCCAGGCATGGGGATGGAGACTCCCGCTCCCTCCTTGTTTCGGTTCCACAGGGAAGCCCAGGGGTCTGCCAGCCTCAGGGAGAAGAGGATCAGCGGCTTGGGCAGCTGCACCCACTCCCTGGGCCTTGCTCAGCTCCTTAGGACCGGTGAGTCTCAAGGGGCGACGCCCCTTCCGGCACCCCGGATGGCGGAGGAGGCGGGGTCCCGCCTGGTGGCCAGCGGTCCGGGCCTCCTCTCCTGGGGAGCCACAACCCGGGGCGTTTGGCCAAGGCGGCGGCGGCGGCGGCGGCGGGCGCGGAGGAAGGCAGCGCTCAGGCGGGGAGGCCGGGAAGACCTTCCAGGACCCCCGATTACTTTCCTCTGAATGAAAAACAACAACAACAACAACAACAAACTTCTCCCTCTCTCTGCCCCCGCCCCCGCCTTAGCCTCTGGGGACCCGAGCTCCAAGCAATTGTGTCCCAGGGGCAGTAAACACGGCTCAGTTGCCTCAACTTTCTCCGCGCACACACACACAAAAGTTCCCGGCGTGCTTGCGGTGAAATTTGAATATTTGATCAGCCCCTTTTGAGGGACCCTCATTAGCCCGGCGCCCCGCTAAGGCCCCGCCGCTGCAAGAAAGCTCGGCGTTTGTAAGCCTTGTTAGCGCCGCTTCATGGAGCTCCGAGGTGGCCTCCGGGGTGGGCGGCGGGCACCTCTGCACCCTGCTCCGCCTCCCACCGCCTCCGCCCCTCACGTCCTCCAACGGGGAGTTTGGCTCTCTCTTGGGCCACTGCACTTCCCACTACCAGGCTCAGGAGAGTGGGCACAAGCCCAGCCCAGCCCCAAGAGAGAAAGAGAGGTGGGAGGTAGGAGGACAGGAGCCTCACAGGTTGGGGATTGGATCTTGAGGCCCCTAGGTTGTAGGCCTGACAGTGTACTGCCAACCTGTCCCAAACTGGCCAACGAGTCACCCCAGTGCCTTAAAGAGATGTGTCTGGCCTAGAATTGGCCTGGCAGAAGACAGGTGCGGGGGTGGGGGGTGGGGGGTGTCAGCTTTCCACCCCCAAGTTCCTTTAGTCTCCACTTCCCAGGAGGCCACCTCCTCCTTGGCAGGGACCCCCTTCGGACCACCAGAGTTGGTGTGCTGGGACTGGGAGCTGAGAAGGGGTGTGCACGCTCACCTCCTCAAACCATCATGGCCCTCGCCGTCCCCAGAACCAAACACAGTCATGCCCCTTGGCACTAGGGACAGCAAAGTACTACAGTCTACCCTGCCCACCCCACTAGAGAGCCATGACCGCACTGGTCTCTCTTACATCATGCTCCGGGTCATCAGAAGGGCTGGAGAAAGTGCTCAGGGACGGTCACCTTGGACAGGGTCAGCTGGCTGCTCGGGTGAGGCTGGGACTGGAAAGGGCCTGAGGGAGAGGAAAGGGAGGGATTGCTCTGGATGGAAAGGGGACCAAAGCCACCAACTACTTCCCCTCTGAGGCAAACAGAAAGGACCTTATAGAAGTTGTGCTACAGTCCTCTTGCAGAGTAGACACTCTACTCTTATGCTCTTTGCCCTGGACAGTTGTCACTCCAGGTCCCTCCTTGTTCAACCAGCTTTGGGGCTTTTAAGGGTTCCTTTGGGGAGATTAATGCACTGGATTTGTGGAGCAGGCTGTTCTCAGAGCCACACTCTGGGCCTTCTGGCGGTGGCCCCCCCCCCCTATGCCCACAATCCCTCAGATATACAGCAGGCTGCCCAGGGTGGCACCCTCAGGACACCATTCCCAAGTAGCCTTCGCTCTCTGCCCAAAGGCCTGACAGGCCCCAGAGGTAGCAGAAACTTCTAAGGCCACGAGGTCTGTTCCTCTTTGCTCTCTTCCCCTGCTCAACCGATGTGCCCCCAACCCATTTACCACCCAGGACACCCTAACTCAAGCCCCAACTGCTGGTCTCTAGGGATCACCTCTGAGCTGGGCAATGCCTTGTCAGGGCCTTGGTTAATCTAAAGGGCAAAGGTAGGACTGGGGGAGGGACGTATGCTGTTGGCGAGAAAGGGGACCTGAGGCAGAGGGTAGAACTCAGCTCTGTGGCCCCAAGGCCAGGCCTACAGACTGCTCAGGGGGAGGAGGCGAGGGGAGGGGGCTAGGAGTCCGCGGGCGACGGTCGGGGCATCGCGTGGGGGGCTAGATCCAGAGAAGGAGGGCGAGAGGCGGGAGCCTGGGGGGGAGCGGGGAGGGGGTAGAGGGTGCGGCTTTTTAAGAGCACAAGGCTGGCAGGGAAAGCGCGCGGCCCGGTGTGGGTAGCGCATTGACCCGAAGGGGATTTAGAGGGACGGGAGCGGCCGTCACCGGGGGCTTTGTCCGGGCGACCAGAGAGGGCGAGGCGCAAGAATGAGGACAGACCGCGTCCTGAAAGGCCGGGCGGAGGCGGCGGCGCCGCTGCTCTTGACTTCTGAGCGAGGCTTAGCGAGCCGGCCCGGCTGCAGCGGGACCCCGGGCCCGGGCCCTGCGCGCCCGGTCTGCGGGCTCGGAGCCCAGGAGGAGCCGTGGGGAGAGGAGGGGACGCCGGGCTGGCCAGGGACCTGGCAGAGTTGCTCTGGGCTTCACAGCTGCCCACGCTAGTGCAGAGTTGCGGGCCCGCTGGATGCGCCGCGCTGGGCAAGGCCAGAGAAAGAATTTTCTTTTTCCAACTTTTGTCTTTTGGTTTTGTCTCCAGTTCCAGCGGCTCCGGAGCCTGCCGACCCCAAAGGGAGTCTCAACAGGTGGCCGGGTAAGTCCATTTAAGAATTCTGGGCATACCCTCTGCCCCTCCTGGCCCCCTAACCGGTCCCCGGTCCCCTCCCAGTGTCCCGTGGCCGCGTGGATTCCCTGTGCTCCTCCCAGGGCCCAGGCGGGAGGAGGAAGTGGGGGGGGGTTGGGGTTTGAGAGGCGCCCTCACCCTGGGTGCCCTTGGGCTCCCAGTTCTAGCCCAGGACCGCTGGCCGGCGCCCTGGAGAAGCTTCTCCCAGTACCCCCGGGTCTCGATCACCATTAGTTCCGTACCCCAAGTTGGGGGTGGGGGCGCGGAGGAGCATCACTGACTGGAAGTGGGCGGGCTGGGCGGGCGGGGGGGGGGGGACTCCGTGGCCCTGTGGCCTTAGGGGGGGGGTGTTATAACCCAATATACACCCTCTTTTATGGGAGATCGGGGATCCCGCCCAGGGAGCCCTCACCGGCGGTACAATAGCCCGCAGCAGCAGAGCGCCGCGCCAGGCAGCTGGGGGTGGGGGTAGGGTGGGGAGGTGGAGGTGGGGGAGGTGGAGGTGGAGGTGGGGGAGCAGGAGGAGGGGGGAGGAGGAAGCCGAGAAAGGCAGAGGCTTGCGATCCCCGGCGTCCGGGCGGAAAGTGGGGAACTGTCCTCAGAGCCGCGCGCACACGCTCTTTGTCACACACACACCCGTACACGCACTCACAGCCACCGAGCAGCCCAAGCCCCGCCAAGCAGAACCCTCCCGCCGGGCGTCCGGTGCCCCGAGAAGGACGGGGGGAGCTAGGAGGACCCCCAGGGCTGGGGCTCGGGGAAGAGCTTACCTGCGGCAAGGTAAGGGAAACCTGGAGCCAGAAGCAGCGGCGGATAAATATTCATTAGGAAGCGCGTCTCCTTTTAAACCACGCGGCGTGCGCTCTCGCTCCTCTGCCTTTCCTCCCTCCCTCCCTCTGTCCTCTGGCGAGGCTCTCTCCTCTCCGCTCAGTCTTCCCCCCACCCTCCCCACTTTCCTGCGGAATGCCCGCTGGATCCCCGTTCTGGCTGTGGGAAGGCTGCGCCTGGGGGAGAGTCTCCCTCCACAGCTGTTTGTCTTCGCTCTTGGGGCACGCATTCCCTGTCTGCCCTCCCTCCGGTCGCCCAGCCCCTGACCCCCTCCTAAATTACTACACCATTAGCTTTATTTTCCTGTGTGTGTGTGGGGGGGGGGGCAGTTATCCGACCTACCTCCCCAAAGCTAGCCAAAAGCTGGTGCTCTCCGAGGCTGCCCCAACTCCATCCCCACGCAGGCTCCCACCCACATCCTCACCCAGTTCTGTCCCACCCCTTTCCTCTCTACCTCCATCCTCTGCCTACCCAACTTCACCATCCCCTCCCTCTCCCGCCGCCTACAATTGGGGCCCCCAGATGGATGGGCAGTGACAGGCCAGGGCTGTAGGTACAAGGATTCCGCACTGGGTGCGGGGTAGCCCTCTTTCCACGTGGGTTTTCCCGCCTGACACTCAGTGGGCATCTGGGCAGGTTGGGCTTAGGACGGAGGCGCATATCCAGGGTCTCACCCCGCCAGGCCTCAGGGTGCCCATCTCGGCCCTGTGGCGGGACCTGGGAGGCTGCATGCATTTGTGCAAATAAACGGGAGAGTCAGACCAACAAGCCTTCGAACTGATGATTGCCTTTTACCAACAAACTGACCCGAAGTTGGTCGCAAGTTCGCATCTTTTTCTCTCACGCTTCGGGGAAAACACAGCTACAGGATCCCAGGAGCTCACAAACCTCTTCCGAGAACCGCTTCCAGCCGCTAGGGAGCACCGCACCCCTCCTCCCCCGCCTACCCCGGCGCTCCCGGGGCTGGCGCTCCGGGACCGGGACCGGAGACCAGGAGGCCCGCAAGGTCGCTCCGGATGGAGAGAGACATCCGATGAACTGCCGCGGCCAGCATCCTGGGTCCCTCTCCTTCCCGCTCCAGGTGCCTAGGCCCCCTCCAGGGCTCTGAGGGATGGTGTGGTCCCCAGGTGCTTGGGGGTGGCCAGGGCTCATGCAGCCGCTGAGCTGGGCGCCGGAGGTGGGGGTGGAGGAGGGGCCGAGGGGGCGGGCCCAAGCCAGTTCCCAGTTCCCAGCAGCGCTGTTCTGGGGAATCCCCGGAGAGTTCTGCTCCCAAACACGCATCCTCCCAGGACTTTCTCGATCGGGTCCTACACCTTCCCCAGGTTCGCGGGAGCGCAAGCGGCCTTTTGGTGGCCTGGGGGCGAAGGGTGCGGTCTCGTCTCCTCCCCCATTTGGCCTGGTTCTTTGGGACCGCAAATCCACCCCCACCCCGAGACGTCCCAGAGGCTCTTTGCACCCATCCGGCAGGGAGCGAGGAGCAGAATCCTCGCTGGGTCTCCCTCCTCCTGGAAGGTTAAGAAGCTGCGCAGTTGAAGGTGGAACAGGCCTGGAGGGTCCTGGGTCAGAGAAGCTTTATCCACCTTGCACCTCACCTAAAGCCCCCCCCGTAGCAGACAAGCAGGTCGCACGCATCTGAGCTCAGGCTTAAGCTGTCACTTTTACTGGACGCGGGCTGTGCAGGCAAATTGTACGCAGACACACGAGAGTATTAGGAGAACACGAGCAGCAGAATTTGAAGAAAAAAGAAGTGTCCCCAGTCAGAATGTTCGAATGCATGGTGCACGCCCAGTTCTCCAGATGCAGACAAAAGCCGCAGTGCCCGCGCCCGTGACCCCGGCCCCATGGGCAGATGCACAGGAAGCCACACACAAGGGGAATGGGCCGAGCGAGGATGCAGGCCCCCAAGCCCAGGGCTTCCTGCTAGAGGGACCTTTGCTCCTGACCGGGGAACTTTGTTGAGCCGACTGGGTGGAAGATTTGGGGTCACTAGACAGGCACCTCAGCCACCCCAAAGCCACCCCTTTCACCTTCCTCAGCCGGGCTGGAGACGCCCAGGAGAAGGCGGTCCAGGAAAGGTTCCTTTTGCTCGGATTATTTGTTTTTGTTAGGAGACCGCTTCTGCGGGAGGGTGGGGTGGAGAGCGAATGCTGTGAGATTCCTAAATCCTAACGGGACCTTGGATGGAGCTCCAAAGGTTGAAGAAAGGAAGGGCCCTTATTTTGCCCCTTTTCACTTGTCGTAACCTAAATATAGTCATTAAAAAAACCCCCCCCCAAAAAACCTGGGCTGGGCTCCATGCCCTCTTGCCCTCGCTCCCATTCCAATCCCTTTAAAGCAAACAATCAGCAATGAACACCCTGAAGCAGACTGAATTATTTAGTTTAGTAAACTAATTTTTATTTTGGTGAGATACAGGGAAGTTCTCATCCACCCCCCCAACACACACACACACACACACACACACACACTCTCTCTCTCTCTCTCTCCCATCCTAGACATTGCCCACTATCCCCACCGGGCTGGGGAGTAGGGTCCCTAAATTCAGGAGGAAGTGCACAGGCTTGTTTGTGGTTTCAGTTTGTGGTTTCCCATTTGCCTGCCCAGTTCCAGTGAACCTTGCAGAGTGCAGACAGTAGCCAACACAGTTTCCCTGTGGAAGAGGCAAGCACACTGGGCGCAATGGTGCCCTCCCTCCCCCTTCACCTCCCTTCCGATGATTCTGTCTCTGAAAGTAGAGGGCAAGTCTGGGGAAATTCTTTTAGACAAAAAAAAAAGAAGAAGTAAAAGGACTTTCTGAGTCAGCAAGTTTGATGTCACACCCTCCAAGAGGCAGAGGAAGGTCCATCCCACACAGAACAGACACACCAGTTGGAAAGCATGGCAGGCAGGTGTTTGAAGCATATGTAGTTGCCCTAGGAATGGAGGGAGTGTGGGGTATGAGTAGGAAATCATTTCTTCCCTATTGTAGGCAAATTCTGCCCCCCCCCCAAGATACACTGAATTCCTGGAAATTTTAGCAAGAGTTTATTCTTGTAGCTGTTTTGAACAATAAAGAGTAAAATGTCACTTCAGAGTCCATTAATCTGCCGTGGGAGGGCAGTTTCTTCCAAGACGTTTTTCTTTCCTCAGGTTTGATTTTCCCGTTTTCCCAGTCAGAGTCCACTTGCCGACTCACCTTGGAAAGAGACTGTGACAGAAGGAGAGACATGAGTGAGAAGACCACACTCCTGAACCCAAAATGTAAATTCCATTCCTGGGAGTGAAGGAGATTCAGGACAATCAGGGCAATCCACCTGGGGGCATTTCCCCCCTCTATAGGCAGGTTTTTTTAAGAGCCTTTTCAGTCATAAGTAACCATCAGCATTTTAGAGTTGGAGACATTTGCGATTACTATACTTACCAATGAATTCTACAAGGTTCTTCAAACTCCGTCTGATTTATCAAACTGTGTGGACATAGCTAAGATCCTTGCAACATTTATCAATCAACTGGAAAGCAGTTCGTTTTCTCATCATCCCAAAAGTCACAGTAGAGTCACTGATGCAAATTTTTAAGTTTTTCTTTGTAATGACAGTTGATGCTATTACATCATGTTATATTAGCTTTATCCATAGGGATTAGACATTCATATTACCTACCAAGTGATCACCCTGATAATAGAGCGAATTTTTTTTCTTGTTTCCTAAATGCCCTTGTCACCTCTGCCCGAACTACAGGGCCTCAGGGCAAAATCTCTTAGGTTTGCTACCTCTTGCATAGGGCCTACTGTGTTGTTAGGTTTGTTTCTTAATGATTGTGTAAGGTGTGAGCATTTCTCTCTCTCTCTCTCTCTCTCTCTCTCTCTCTCTCTCTCTCTCTCTCTCTCTCTCTCCAAAATGAGCCCAATAGAAGCTAACCATTTCTGCAAGGCACTGAGCAAAGACCTGAACATTCAGGGTTGTGTGTGGGGAAGGGGGGCTTGTGGGTGGGGGAGGGGACAGCCATCCCCTCAACTGAAAAAATAAAATAATCCTTAATACCCCTTTAATTCCTTCTACTTAATAGTGTCAATGCTCTGGAGACGGCCGTCTCACCTCCAATCTTCACCCACAGAGGGCCCAGGCTTCCAGCCACATCCCAACGGTGCACCCGCCGCTCGCCGCCAGCCCGCCCAAGAGGAGGTGCTCCGAAGGCAAAAATCCCATACATTTTTAACTACAGTGATTACTAAATTAATAGCAGGCACACAGACAGATGTCAAAACGTCTCGAAAATGTTTATCTGTGAATAATTGAGAAGGTGGTGGGACGCATTATCTGATTGCGCGATGAAATATGTATGAGGAACAGCTGTTTGCAGCAGCAGCCCCCTCCCGCCCCCTCCTCCGCGGGGCCCGTCCCTTCCAGGCGGGAGTCGCGGCGGAGTTAGTCGCCCACGTCCCAGCCCGCTGCGGAGCTGGGCTCGGGCGCGCCCGGAGCCACCTGCTTCCCGGAGAGGGGACGCCCGCGTGAAGTCGCCTCTCCTCCGCCAGGCTCTTTGGGTTTTGGTGGCGGCGTGAAGCTTGGCTGACCTCGGAGCCTTCGGGTGGGCCGCGGACTCGGCCTGCGAGGCCCAAAGAGAGCTGGGGCCGGGGCGGCAGAGGCCCGGAGCCCGGGGGCGCCCGCCGAGCGGGGCGGCCTGCTCGCTGGAGAGGGCGGGAGGCTGCGCGCCTCGGCGGGGCGGGCCTGGGGTCACCGCGGGGCGACCGGGCTCCCCAGCGGGCTTTGTTCCCGCTCCGGCCACACCGCGCTCTTCCTCCCAGCCCCCCTCCCGGCCTCCGCGCCCGCCCGTGTGTTCCTCCAGCCCCGCGCCCTGCGCCGCCGGACGCGCGGGCTGCCCTCGGGGCCGGTCCCTGAGTCCTGGCCCCGCAGGAAGCGGAATTGGGGGTGGGGGTGGGGGGATCTGGGGACCTTTCTGGGGTCTTAGGCTCGGGGAGGCGGCCTAATGGGGCGCACGGCCTAGGTGGGCGGCCAAGGCCCAAGTCCTGGGCTTGGGAGGGGGCAGGTGGCTTGGGGGACCCCAGCCCGGGCCCCGACCCATCCCCGGCGGCGACAGAGGGTGGCGGTGTGTGTGACCGTGAGGAGCCCGGTCCGGCTGGACCTCGGCGGCTGCAGCCACCCCGATCGCCCCGGTGACCGCGGGGGCCTGCTGTCCCCGGCGCTGCCTCCCGGGCGCTGCGCGCGGCGGCGGCACCGCGGCCCCAAGCCCGGCCTGGGCCTGTCTGTGGCCTCCGCCTGTGCGGCCCGCGGCCCCTCTCCCCCCGCGCCCCGCGGGCCCCACCGGCCTGTCCCTGGCTCGGGGCGACCAGGAAACTTCGGCGGCTTAGACCCCGCGGGTGCTGCCGCCCTGACCGCCCCGGGCCGGCGCCGGACACCGAGGGCTCCGGTCCCACCGGCCGCCTCGCAGTCGAGGTGCCATCGGGCGGGCGTCCCTCCTCCGGCGTCCCCCCTTTTACCTAATCCCTGATGCTCGTATTCTAATCCTACACGGGACAGTTAATCTGTAATGATACCGCTCCGGAGGAACCTGTTGCTCGCGAGGAGCGGTAATTTGTAACCTTGGAAACAGTTTTAAATAAAGATTGTAACCGCGATGTCAACTGTGTTTGTTCTCCGGGCGGGGAGCCTGGCGGCTCCGGGCGGAGGGGACGGAGTGGCGGCGTCGGAGGGAGCGAGGCGCGGGCGGAGGAGCAGCCGGTCCGCTCCCGTCCCCGCTCCGGTCCCGATCCCGCTGTCCTTTGGGGTTTTCCTTTGGGCAACTCGCGTGGTCTTAAACCGCAAAGCACGGAGAGAAAGAGAGAGGAATCGTTTGCAAAACTCAGGAACGCTTGGTGAACTTGAGCTGCTGCGAATTAGCGTCCAGCCGGACCCCGCGCCCCAGGACTCGCAGGCGGCGGAGAGCGGACGGAGGAAGACGGCCGGCTGGACCCTGCGGCAGCGGCCGGGAGGCACTGCCGTCTGAGGACCGCAAACTCCCGCCCCGACCTTCCTCCGCTCTTAAACCCGCCACTGTTAGCCACCACCACCGAAGACGGTGCGAACACGGAAAGCAACATTAAGCATGATTGTTTTTATTTATCTGTTGCTTTGATAGCGTTACAATATTTTTAGTTGCATTGTATAAAACACCATCCACGCTGATTACTACCTGCCACGCCTGTGGGTCTGCTCCTCGTGTATTCGGCACAGCAATGTTAACAAGCAAGGAAAAGCACAACTTACATATTGTATCTGTCAAGATATGTTACAGTTTCTATGAATAACAACAAAAAATACATTATTCTTGTTGAAGGCGCTATGAAGCATCTGTCGTGAGCACTTTATGAATAATCATAGTTGTCAAAAAGAATTAGATTTATAGATTGTAGATGCAAAGGAAATATTACGTACACAGAATAAAATAGACAGGGGGATGGAGGCACAACTAGTTTTCCTTTTAAAATAATTTTTTTTTTTTTACCGAGGTGGAAAAAAACACAACAACCCGGAACTATTAAGCTTACTTAAAAGATGGCTTTGTTGGTTTAATTACACTGTAGTTATTTTATAAATATGTTTCAAAGGAAGCTTGCCATATTGCATGTCAATGAGGATTGTAAAGAAAAGCTTACAAAAGCTAATGCATACCAAATACCAAATTTTAGTCATTAGCATTCTTATTTATCACAAACTAAAGAAACCTATTAACAGAAAAGAATTTCTATTTAGCTAGCATTACAATGTTTGCCCATTAAAATAAAAAGGGCAAAGTATGTACATATTTTTTTTCCCCTTGGAACTATACATTCTTGCTGCCTGGAAGGTTCTTTGGGGAGACTGGAGGACATTTCTGGTTGGGAGAACAGGAGTCTATAGGGGGAATGGGCCAGAGGTCCCAGAACCACTGTTTATAGCTATGGAACATAATGCTATTCATTTGGGGGGGAAATGTGCAGGGCTTCGGCTCTTCGGCAGGCTGAGCATTGCACAGTAACAGAAGTGTGTGAGGGGCCCTTTGTCTTTAATTTGTGTCATATGCATATGCAAATGGTGTATTGTTTTCCCTCCGGGGAAGGGAGTGGATAGCTTTTGTTTGGATATTAAAATTTCCTTAAATGCTTCCTAGACATGGTACTAGGAAAACCCACCACCACAGTAAACATAAGGTTATTAATTCTAGAAACATGCACACACATATAGATTTGTGTCATTTAAAAAATCATTTTCCTTTGAGCAAAATCGGCAATTCTGCTGTCATACCAGAAGTAAATGAATATATAAACACATTTTTTTTTTCCTGAATGCCTATTTGACAGGGAATAAACTTTTCAACTATTTTTCTTCTTCTTATAATCGAGGGTGATTTTTCCCCCCTAATTCGGTAGGGAAACAAGTAAATATTTCAGACCTTGAAGTGAAACATTTGGAATGATAAGGCAGGGTTATTTTGAATTATGGTCGGTGAGAATTTTTTTTTAAAGTGTCCAACAGGAAAAAAAAAAAATAATAGTTACACGAACTTGTTAACCCCTCAGCGCATTTACGAAGCAACTCAAGTACAGGTTTTTTGGGCCTGACGTTCAACTGGGACAGGACACATTTTGCCTCCTTGGGGGAGTTTTTGCATTAAAAAGATAGAAAATTTCCAAGAAAGGTGCATCTTTGAAAGGCCCAGAGGAAAACAATAGGTATTAGAAGGAAGGAGGGCATTCCTGATGTAAAAAAGAAAATCTCTGTCCAAAGTTATGAACAGATTTTGCAAACCCTACTTGACATGTTAGTTTTCAATAATAAAAGTTCCTGTGTCCTGTTGGTGGTGGGGGCTAGGAATCCTGGGGCAGAGCTAAAGGAGGGAAGTGCACTGATCCCTACCCTGCAAACTTGTCCTTCAGGCAAGCCACAAAAGTCAGTGTATTATGAAAGAAGCTCGGGTGCCTCAATGCTGGCACTATTCTATCTGGACGAGGTGTCAGTCCCCACGTTTCTAAAGTGTATTTGATACAGGGGTAGGAGAAATTGCTTTTAAACCTAAGTGTGTGTGTGTGTGTGTGTGTGTGTGTGTGTGTATTGTTTTTTTTTTTTTTAAAGGTGACACTTGCCAATAAAGGCCAAATCTATACAATTTTTTGATAACTCCGCTCCTCTTACTCACCCCAAATTAACCAGCCTGATTTTCCCTCCACTGCGGAGAGTGCCCATATTACCTCCATAGGCCACCCACTTGCCTCTCCCTCATCTGCAGCTTTCCTCTTCATTGAATGCTGAGTACTACCAACAGCCAAGGAGGAGAAGGCTGTTCCCCATATCTTTAAACCACGCTGATTTAAATCTCAACGCGAGTGGAGGAACCCTGTTTCAGTTGCCTTCAATGCAATTTCAGAGTGTATTAGAGGAGACCATTTTGGTGACGCAAAGATAAGATGAAAACCCTTTTCTAAGTAAGCTGATACTTGTTGAGGTGAAGGATATACACAGGTCAGGGAGGCACAGAACAATGCTATTCTCTGGATGTCCTGGCTGGGAGC